GGGCTAAAATAAAACCCTCACCTGCACTGTCGTGGCGACAACACTAGCTATGTGGCCCTTAATACTAAAAAAAAAAAAAAAGGACAGGTATGTGGGTAAATCAGTTGATAATTAAATTTGACCATCTCGAATACTTATGATTTCATTTTTAAACTTCACAATTGCATGGTTATGCTGACATTTCATAGCTTTCCATTTATTTTCATTTAGATTTAATTATTTCATTTGCGTTGGAATTTTCAGCTGTGCTGTTTACCATAGCGTTCATTTCCTAATTATGGTGTATTTTTCCTGTTTTCATTTGCTTTTCAATTGTTTTGTTTTTCTCCCAACTACTGCAATGAGGGAAAGAGTAGTCGGTGAATTTGGGCGGGGGGGGGGGGGGGGGGGGGGGTGCAAACTGTTTACCGAGAGAGCTTTACCCACTCAAAGTAGCAGGAGCAGTAGTAGCAAACAGCTTAAGCATGTGATAACCATATAACCATTTTTGTTACTGTGCTAAACACCATTTAAACGACCACTAATATAAAGACACAATTATATGGTGCGTTTTCTAAAGTTGGAAAACCAGACTATCTCTATATCTGTGCAGAGAATGATTGCGACATTAACTATATTAGAAACGAGCGATTTCCATTGTCTTTCTTTTCCAAAAACCTTTGATGAGGGAGAGAGTAGTAGGTGGATTTAGTTGTGGTTGGGGGGAGGGGGCGGGGTGAGGATCAAAGACCATTTCTATATCTGAGCAGACAATGATTGTATTAGAAACGTGCAATTTCTATTTTCTTTCATTTCCATTGAGCCAAACTATGCCACAGCAACGCGTGGCCGGGTACAGCTAGTCAATCATAAATAACACCCATAAAATCATGAACTGAATCCATAAACTGATGAATAATAAATACACATAAATTCATGAGAAGAACAATAAATAAAGCAAGCAAAAGACTTAAATTATCTAGGGAGCATAATATCATTCAATGGAAAAATGGAAGCAGAGATAGTTCACAGTTGTAATCAAGCAATGGACAGATGTCACTAATTTTGCAGAACGGACATGTAACAATTGACACCAAAACAGCACTAATAAATACAGTATTTTTACCAACACTATGTTACCACTGCCAAAACTGCACACCAATAACAATCAAGTAAAGTAAAGTCAAGTCAAGTCAAGTCCAGTCAAGTTAAGGACCTTTTTAAACACCTTCAGGTGTGCTGGGCATACAGGGCTAAACCTATATTTTATATATGTGGTCAACATCATGCTGGCTACCTTTACTTCCCAGGAATTACATGGTTCCCATTTAAAACTCGCAGCCAAGGTCAATAGAGAAACCCTAAGGGGAGTGTTGATGAGAGAAGCCAAAGTGGCTGGCATGGATTCCATCCATGTAACTGAAGTGACTGCACAAGACAGAATGGAATGGTAGGTAGTTGTACCCCACCAGGACATCACACAAGCGATAAACACCCGGTGACACAAAGTGCCCCCACGCGGATGAGGATCACCTGTGGAGAGGTCCCAGAAACACCTTACAGTCGTTAGGCCATATATATATATATTCAGGGCCCGCGGCAGAAGCCAGGGTGGGGCTTTAAATAACAAAAAAATTGCATCTCACATGGGGACAACTACGTACGCTTATAGAATGGAAATGAGATAGAGACTGGCAGCCCTATGTGACATGTAATGACATAACAGGACAATGAATGAACAAACAGTATGTGTCACTGTACAAGTTTCAAGTTTACCTTGGATGTCAACACTGGGGTCTGAATCTGAGTTATGACGGTTCCTTGAAAAATAAACAAGAGAAACCGATGAAATGATGATGAACAGAACAATTTATCCGGACCTATTCTTTAACAAAGAAATCATGCTCATTGTTAAATATATACACATATATATATGTACTGATTGGCATGCACAGAAATATACTGAGAAGTAGATATGGAAGGATCTTCTATTTTTCTACGTCTTTCTATAACTGCCAACAATACATGTCTATTATATAAATATATATATGCTGTTACTACAGACTCAAGGGTTCCCCACCCATTTATTTCCATGCTGTATGTTACCTACAAGGGGCCTGGTCCACATATGAGGTTTGAAGTTTGAGGTTTGAACAACGGATCAACATCATGGCACATGGGTAGTACCCATAAGTGCTCCGCTCTTCTTCTAACTCAAGAAGAAGCTCAGCACAGTGCACAAGCTCTGTAGCACTGGCGAGGATCCTGAAATACTTTGGGTAGATTTTTCACTCAAAACTTGTGTCTGGCCAGCACCATTAGGCTACTTTTTTCCATTTTCAACTGCCAAGGGATTCTTTACGTGAGCAACAATGCACACCGGCGTCCGATCTCACCACCCAGAGACCAGGGGGAATTACTAGGAGTCCAAGTCCACATGAAAAAATCCCAGCCCTTTATGGGGATTGAACCCAGAACCTCTAGCACTCGAGGCGGACACCATGCCTCGAGACCACGCAGC